CAGCCTCGGTCGAGCCGACATAGAGCGTGGCGCCTCGCGGCACGAAGCGCCTCATCGCCTGCAGCACGCTCGGCGGCTGCGTCGACGCGTTTCGCTGCGCGACGCACCGCGGCGCGGGGTGGCACTCGGCCAGCTTGTCCGAGCGGCGCAGGTGGAGCGCGCTGTACGGCCCGCCGATGCGCCGCCGGATCTCGCGCGCCGCCGCCTTGATCGGACCGCTGTAGAAGAGGCCGCTGCGCAGCAGCGCGAGCGACGGGGCCGTGGCGCCCGTGTAGGGCGCTGGCATCGCAAGCCGCGCCTGGGCGATGCGGGCGAGCGGCTCCGTGTCGACGGTGTTGCGCAGGCAGGCCGAGTACCAGAAGCCGGACTGCCGCCGCTGCAGGTTCGGGTGTGAAGAGCAGGGGTACTCGGCCCTCGCACACGCCGCGTTGCACCCGGCGCGCAGCGTCACACCAGAACCCGGATCACCCGTCGCGTTGGCGAGCCGGACGGGCACGAAGCTGCTCAGCAGCGCGACGTCGAAGAGCTCGTCAAAGGGGATGCACGCGCCGCCGCTGTTGTGGCCCGCCGCGGTGCATATTTCAGCCGGGAGCACAAAACTCCTTCCTAGCGCCGCCGCCTCGTTCATCGCGCATGAGAGGCTGGACATCTGGTGGTTGAGACCCATGCGCGCGTCGGACCGGTACGGCACCCAGCGGAAAGTGCACGCCATGGGTCTCTCTTCCATCAAGGCCGACAGCGTGGCCAACAAAAGGGATTAATACGGACGGGCCCTGCTCCCTCCGAGCCAACCAATACGCGCCTCTACGAGTCGTCGCTGTCGCTGCCAGAGAACAAGTGTGAGTGTTAGAGTTGTTTGGTATTGCTAAAAATCTCTCTCTCTGCCAGAGCCATCGGCATCGCCGAAGCCAAGGAGCGTAACAAAATCGGCAAGCAAGAGCAAGTGTATTGGAGCTCAGGGAAGCGGTGGGCGGGCGGTCCCGTCCCGCTGCTGCTGTCCCGCTGCTGCTGTCAGTCAGGCAAGAGCTGAAAGTGTCCTTTGACGTTCCAGATTCCAGGAAAGTTCGAAGTCCCTGTAGCTCTTTGTGTTGCGATGCTTCCTGGCGAGAGAGTGCTGGGCTTTCCGGCCCACACTCGGCTCTTGAGGCATTTATCGGCATTAATATGCCGTAGGGACACACAGCAAGGAGAGTAGTGTCTACGCGCGCACACGCCCGAGTGCCAATTTGGCTACGGGTTAGGGTTGCGTTGTCCTAACGCCTCCGTCCGTCCTGGACGGGCGTTGGCGCGTGCATATCCCACCGCTAAGCTAGCGACACTACTGCTAATGCTGGCCTCGTCCCCTCAAGTGAGCAGCTG